CTTAACGTTTAGTCGCATGCAAAGGTAGACAAAATCTCTTTTAATTATTTGAATTTTGTTCAGGCTTAGATTTTAAGGGTGGCATAAATACATAGGTAGACATTGCAATCACTGTTCTGAATTATTTCTTTAAAAATGTAAAAAATACTGAAACCAAAGTCAGGAATATCACAGCTATGTTCTTATTCCTTAGTGAGTTGTTTCCCCTTTCTGTAATGATTTTGGTACCTTGAATTTTTCTAACATTTATAAATTAATGAAAATATAAGCTTTGATGTGGGCGAAGCAGCAAGTATGTAACAACCCAGCAACAATACTTGATAGTCATCTTTGTTTCTCTTTCAATAAAAGACTTTACAAATTCTATAGGATCTCATGAGACGAGAATTATGTAGATGCACAGACCCAGGTTTCAGAGAGAAAGTTCTCCATTGACCACCACTTCATAGGAATCTTAAGTTGTCACTTGTGTGGTATCCATTTGTTTGTTTTGAGTAGAAATTGAAGAATGTTTGTAATGGTCTGGTTGTGTCATTAGTATTGGCTAACCATCTGGTTTCTAAACAATGATAGCCATTTGTACCTATTGGTCTCTCATCTCTGTTTAAATATTTATTCATGGCTTTTCAATCAAAAATGGTGGCAGTCATTTACCCCACTGTCCTGTTTACTTAATTTGTTTTCTTTATCAAAGTTTAATGTAGAATGTGTGTCCCAGTTGACTTGCTTGATTTCATGGTAAACCAAAACAAAAGCAACAAAAGCTGGTGGTAGATAGAAAAATGTGGACTTAATTAAAGGACTGGAGCATGCAAGGTGTCACTGGAGATTTTTCTTTATTAAAAGAAATTTGAATTATATGAATTGCAGAATACATCTAAGTGTGATGAAATAAAAATCAAATGTTAAAAAACATTTATTTTTATCATGACGTATAGATATTATTGGGGTGTTATATTTAGATAGCCACTGAAAAATGTTGAGATATTTTCAACATGTACTTTGACACTGCTTTACAGTAGCAAACAATGGTTTTATACACTTTATGCTTGTCATTGTGTTTGTTTGTGGTTTTTTTTCAATCTATTTTATTGATTCATCAAACTTTCTTTTCTGCTGAAACTGATTACATATTTAATTTTAAACTTTTTTATATATTTATAAAATTAGTATGTAGTTAATTGATAAATGAATAATTCAATTTCAAAATAACATATTCAACGGTAACAAAATGAAACTTACATTGACCAGTCAACATTTTGATATATGCCAAAACAAATGATAAAGACTAATTTGACTAAATGATGTACCATATTAGCACCCTAGGGTCCATTAAGGGGAGGTTAATATGTTTTCCTGGACACCCCAAGAGATAACGTGTCACATCAAATGTTAATAGTTTCACCTTTGTCTTTTTGAGCCTTTGTACTAAAGGTGGCTTTAGTTTTTTGTTTCTACATTTGAGGAACAAAAAGAAATTTTATAAAGAAAGAAAGGAGAAAGAACAGGTGGTTTTATGCCTTCACTTAATTTTAGATTAATTTCTTTCAAGTTGTGGGAGGTAATATAGTCTTGTTTTCTTCTAAAAAATGACTGTCAACTAACATAAAGCATTGTCCTACTTTACCAACTTTTCAAAATCTCCGTGGGGGTTTAAAGTACAAGGGAACCCAATGCAACTCTTATACATGTTATAAGTGTTTATGATCTAATATTCTATGGTTTTGCATGAGGGTATGATACTGAAATGTCATTTAGACTATTTTGAATACATGTTTGAAGTAGTAAAATTGAGGATTCAAAGATTTAGGTCAGCACCTCTCAAGGTGGGGAATCCCCTATAAATCAGGAAAGTCGGCAGGTGTGCATTATTTTTTTTTTTTATATATTATGAGATTTATAAGACAATTTGTTTGTATAGAAATTTGAAAGTCAAAAGTTCTGTATTAGAATTGAATATCAATTTAAACAAATTAAATGAAGATGAACTTTTTTTTTTCAAAGGAATTTTTTTACAAATACATGTCATGATTTAACATGACAAAAATGCTACATGATCATAGCGTGTACAGGTACTGTTGTCAAAGATTTGATTTGTTGTTGTAATTTGACAATCCGTCATAAACTTACAGGTATCTTGTACAGTTATAATCACATGATTATTGTCGTAATTATTTCCTTTCCAATAAAAATATCACTTAAGGTAAAATAATATTGCGTCATAAGTTTTTTTATTGCACATGAATAGACTTGGGATTAATACTGACATAATTATGATACAAGACCTAGCTACTAAGGGTTTAAATTGTTCCCTGCAAGAACAAAAGCTTACCTGAAACTCAGATTAAGCTATTGAAAAATAAGAGGCAGAAAAATAGTAATTAACACAGATTTGAAGAATTTTTAAAAAAGTTTTTATATCTATTTGTTTTATTTTTAAATCAGATTTCAGTAAGTCTGTCCCAGGTATTGAATTGTCAGCATCTTATTGGGAAACATAAAAAGGCAAGCATTGCTGGATACAGAGAGAGGGAGAATACCTGTTAAACTCCCATTAAAATTTTAAAGACAAACAATAATAGACCTGGACATATTGTATGATCTGTAGTTAAAGACATCACATCTTCTTATTTTTAGTCCCCTACCGTCTGTCTGTCTGTCTGTCCATCCGTCAGTCCTGCAAATAAGTTTTCCACTCTTTTTTTCTTCATGCTTGAAGATATTGATTTGATATTTGGTGTATTGTTTTATCATGACAAGTTACAGTTCAAGTTTGAATTTTGTTTCGGTCTGATGATTTTGTGCAGAGTTATGGTCCTTTGACTAAGAAAAATTCACTAAAATAATCAGTTTTCTGTACTTTTTTTTGTCATTCTTGAAGATATTGATTTGATAATTGGGATGTAGTTTTATCATGACAAGTTACAGTTCAAGTTTGAATTTTGTTCCGGTCTGATGATTTTTTGCAGAGTTATAATCAGTTTTCAAAACTTTTTTTTGTCATGCTTGAAGATATTGACTTGATATTTGTTTTATAGTTTACACCATGACAAGGTATAGATCAAGTTAGAATTTTTTTCCAATACAATGAATTTTTAACCGGTAGGGGACTATGTATTGCCATGCAATTAACTCACAGAATGCTTGTTATATCAGTGATGGATCCAGTGTGGGGTGTTCCGGTGGTTGGAATCCCCCTTTTTGTTTGACAACTTATGCTTGTGTATGGGGACATATGGTTGAAACCCCCCTTTTTGAAAATGACTAGATCCACACCTTGACATTATGTTGACCTCTAGATTTCGTTTCTAAGTTTCCCCCTGTGTTTTTGTCTGAATTACGTATACCCTACATCTGATTTTATTCAAATACAGTTATTAATAGATAATGTTGAATTGTATATAATAAATGACTTAATTCCGTACATTCATTTATAAAACAAATGAAAGACAATTTTGGAATAAAAGCGGTGTTATCTAAATAATCCCATACAGAACACAATATTAACTAATTACTTGAAATAACCACAATTTTCCTTAGTCATTTTGTTTATGTTTATTTTTATTAATTTTTTTTGAAAATAAATCATAACAACACATTATGTAATTTTGAAAAAAAATTTGTTTAGAATTTAAAATATTTTTACGAAAGATTTCAACTAATTCATTAATGCCTTAGTCTGGCACATGACAATTCGCACCTATTTTGTTTATTTTTCTGTTGTTTGAGAAATAAATATTTTTACTAGTTTGGGGTAGACCTATCCATCATAATGTATTACACATCGATCAACATGGATTTGTAGTAAATTTTTCGACAAAAACCTTCGGCACGTTGTTATTATTTGTCAAAGTATAGGTTATCTACACTATTATGACAGATTATTGATTCTTATGTTCTGTGATATAGCCTTGAGGCCATTAGTCTTAGGTTAATAGGAAGCAATATAAATGTTAAGGAATTGGACAAGGTGCATTACTGTTAACCTTCCTTTTGTTAGATTCACTTCCTAATTTATTTTATTTATACAAATTGGATTTGCTTTTGTCAACTGAAAGTGGATTGTTTGTTAAAAGAGAAGGAGGTATGAAAAAAATCAATCATTTGTAATTTTAAGGTTATATTTTATCATTTTATTATTATTTTTTTTTTTTTTCATTGAGATTTTACAAATAAGACAAGAAATATGAAAAGAATTATCTTCAGTAAATAACTTAATTACCATACGATTTGAAAATTTATATTGAATAAAATACCATTTAAATTGACTTAAGATGATTTATTAAAATATAAGAAATAACAATGTTAATATGAAGCTTTTTAGTTTATGCTAACCCTGAAGTTCTATTTATTATTTTCAAATTTTACAAAAATACATTTCACAGTTTAGATTTATAAGATTAAAGTTATATTACATATATAAACTTTACCTAGGTGTTGATGCCCTTGATATTTCAGCCTTGAATTTAGTTTTGTGTCAGGTCTTGCACCAGAAAAAAATATGCACCAAAAATGACAACTACTGCACTTTAAAAATTTATAGAATGATAAGTAAGGTGTTGTATTAGGAGGTCAAGTTATCAAGAATTGCAGATTTTACTTACTAACAAGCGATGCTATTTACCCAGACAAAACTCGGCATGTTTCTCAGGCTTTTGTATCAGATAAAAACTATTTTTCAAGAACAGTGTTGAAAAACAAAGTTGACAAATTTTGAAAAATTACAATAAAAAGTTGATTAAGTTATCTTTATAAATTGGTTACCAAATTCACCAGGTCATAGAATGATACTATAGTGATCAGTATGTTGGCTTATATTTGTTTAGGTAGAGTTGTAGTTTTTATTTAAGAGAAAATTTCTTGCAACAGTTTATTAAAATGCTTCAAGGGGATTCAAAGCTTAAAATTAGATTACTTGTTGGTTATATAATACATAACTTTGATTTTATTCAATGTGATAATTTTTTACAATATTTAGAGAGTTTGACGTTACTTTTCAGGAGTATGTCATCAAAGCGAAAGAACACACCAACCAAATTGTCCCAGGACAGTCTTGTGAATGAAGCCATCACAGAAAGTCTAAACAGTGATTGTAGTGTAAGTGACGACGAACTTGAATCCAGATTTCAAATAGTGACAAAAACAGATAGCGAATCAGACTCTTGTTCAGAGGGGAGACCAACAAGCAAAAAACAGAGAATTTTACAAAGTGTCAAACGCGACTCTGACTCCGAATCAGAAACATCGCAGCTTGCCAACGGTGTTAATAATACAACAACAAAGTCCTCTTCGGGATTGCATCGCAAATCAATGGACAGTGTCTTACGACGTCTGACATCACGGACAGAAATGGCCGAATGTGACCTAGAGAACAATAACATGAACGATCAGCAGCATGACAGGAAAGTAGAAGAGAGCTTGAAAGTCTTGCTCAGTGGGGGTGACAGTCTGAATGACAAGGAAAAGAGACTTAGTGAAATGATCGAACAACTCCAATCTCTGAAAGACACCATTTCAAGGAAAAAACAGGTAAGAAAATTATGTAAGAAAGTTTTTTCTATTTTGAAATAAAAATAAAAAGGTTTCTGCAAAAATATGTTTGCATGGTTAGGTGGTTGCCTTGAAAATGAAATATGATGCATTCTGGCAAAATGTACATAAATGAGTAAACTATAGTATATTGTAGTTTGTCTGGTTTGTAAAATTGTTTGGTGTGAAAAGTTCAAAAGCAGACGATGAAAGCATTAGTATATTTTACTATCAACAATACCTCTAATAAAACTGATAATAATCAGAATATAAAAGAAGGAAGACAATTATTGTATCCATTTTCATCTTTTTACCAGAATATGTCTTTTCTTTGATCGGCAATAACAACAGGCCATTACTTTCCAAAAGAAAAAATTGTTTATTATTTTGACATGTATGGGGTGTTTCATCTTCGTTTATGAAAAATCAGCAAGAATGAAACTTCAATAGAGATTTACATTGTCTAAAGCAATTCTCTAAGACAATCTGGAAGCATAAAACAAAAACAAAGAAAATTACAATGTGATGTTGTTATCGTTTAACAAGACAGTTGTTTGGATAGATACTAGAGCAGATAATCAGACGAGAATTGAGGCTTTGAAAGACGTAAATGTTTAATTATTTACTTTTCCGCTGTGATAATTGTGTTTTCCATTGTTGAGATATGGTGTAGTGAAAATCGGTGCAGGCACCGGTTTAACACCTAAGTAACACTGTTTAATTTCCCATAAAGAAAATGGCAGTTAATTACGAGAGGATAGATGATATATTTTGTAAAAGTGCATCCTGACGACTAATATCTTTTCTTCAATTACTCATTGTTTATAGCGTTTCTAACAAATTGTTGGGTAGGGTACTGCATGTATCCATCAAACATTTTTTTTAATCATGACATTTGACTAACCTGTTCCTGTATCGAGCATTGCATGTAACAGGTACGCGTCTTAGATACTCATGACATTCGGGCAAACCTTTCTGTAAAATCAAAGTAATTCTTTTTTAAATATAATAGATAATGTGGGTAGAAATTTACTTCTTACGTAAGAGATAATTTGTCAAACAGATTAAAAAGAAATATTTCTTCATTATATTCTTTAAATCAAATTGAATGATTTGATTTCATTTGAAAGGAGGGTAAACAAAGCTACTGTTTTTTTTGGTTTCAAATTGTAAAAAATTTCTGAAGTATCAAACTTTTTAGTAGGAAGAGGTGTGTTCATTAAACTCTTTATTGAGAGAATTTTATAATGTTTATGTTGGGTTTCTGTCGTATCATCAAATACCTATTTATCTATTCAGATATCTATTTCTTCTCTTTTAAATTTGTAGTATTAATTTTTTTTTTTTCCTCCTTTCCTAGTTTCTTTTTTTTTCCTTTTTTTTTCTTCCTTCTCAGTCTTTCATATTATTTCCTTTTCAGTCTTTCTTATTCCTTTCTCTCCTTTCTTCCTTCCTTTTCATTTGAGTCTGATCTTTTTCTTCTTTTACCTTTCTTTTTGTCTTGTCTCTCTTTCTTTCTAATCTCCATTTGTCAATTATTATACTACAACTATAATGCTCTCTATTTTTCTTTCATCCTTTTTTTCTAAATTCTGTCTTTCTTTCTTTCTTTCTTAAAATCTCTAAATAAAAACTAATAAAACCAGTTTATTCCCAATTATGATCAGGTTCTTTTAGTCTTTAAGACTTTATTCAATAAGGAGATGCACTTAGAGGTACAATTTAACTAAGTCATTAGTTTAATGAAAATTGAATAAGATTGAAATTAATACAAATATCACCTGACAAAGAGAAATTTGACATTTATTTGGATCTCATGTGCGGAGGCATGCCGAGCAAATTACGATACTGTATAATGTTAAATACAATAGTCGCTGACGTTCAACAAGCTTCAGATGATTATCTCGTAAAAAATCATCCCAATAAATTTAATTGTTTCGGTAAAAAAGTTTAAAATACTTTAGAACGACTGTGTTTCCTGTTTTCGTAAACTTTAAAATGCTCTTTGAGTTCTTCAGCTTCCTGAGATCTATGTACAAAGGGTAAATTATTGAAACGGATAATGGCTCAAATTAGCAGATATTGGCTTCCTAATTCACCTCACTTTCAAAAATTGCCAATCATTATCCAGAAGCAATTTATATTAAGTTGTATATTGTCTTTAAGTGGTCACAAATGCTTTCAAAATGGAACTATTAACAAAGAGCATTTGGACTTTATTGTCTTTTTAATGGCACTAAAGGATCATTGCTGTTTTTATTTGTCATAAATTTGAGACGTATTTTTGTATTAAATGTAAGACGAAATCCTCAGTACACTAAATTGAAAAAAAAAACATAGCAATTATTTGTATCATTTAAGTAAAAAGGTTTTAAGAATTTAAACAGTTTGATTTATCTTTCGTTTGGCGCGACTCAACATGACAGAAAAAACAAAGCATGAATTTAAGTTAATGAAAAAGTAACATTCAAGTTTAGAAAACATATACTTCCAGTTTTTTAACACTAATTTAAAAGGATTTTGGACTCAGATATTGCCTATTCAGCAGACTTTACTCTGTTTGCATAAAAGGAGATGTGGGGTTTACATCAATGAAACAGGAACTGAATATCATGCAAAAGCAAAAGACACCTATGTATGAACACTCTTAACCAATACTGGTCATAATGTTCATGTTAAGTTCTGTACAATTTACTAGAGTAAGACACTGCCCAGTCTGGCTATAGGACCTTTGACATGATTATAAATTGGACTATGTAGGGTAGAGCTAGCTAGACCTGTGGTACCAAGAAATGTACTGATAAATTTGGTTTAGCAAGTGGAGAAATCTTGTTTAACTAACGACTGTCATTTCATTGAAATAGACATGTAATTCAAAACTTGTAATAATGTAATTAATGATGTAAATGTAATTAATTACTGAAGTGTAAATGCTAATGTAATGATGTAATTAATGATGTAAATGTAATAAATTACTGAAGTGTAAATGCTAGTGTAATGATGTAATAATTGTTTTGTCCTTTTAGGATCCATATACAGTAAATGGTTCAGATAATAGGAATGGTAAGTCAAATATTGAAATAATTTAAAGGTTTAAATTTAGAACCCCAGTACATGTGTACGCAAAGGCTGTGATTTATTACTAGGAAGGGTAGCTTCATGTAGTAAAGTCGGAGAAGTATTTAGTTTCATCAAAAGTGGTAATATGAGAAAAAGGGATTGGAAAAATATAGAATTTATCAAACAAAGACAGCTGACAATCATCGTAGAACAATTATAATTGTAATATGACTTTATATCCTTGTTGTTGAGTCATCAATATATTAAAAGTACATCTGACCATCTTTCATTGAAATGGTGTCTTTAATGAAATTTTCTTAGCTGTTAGTTACAGCTGTTTAGTAAAGTTTTACTTTTTCACTTAGAATTTGGAAATTAAAATGATCAAAGATAAAATTCGTAAAGTATTAGTCAGTAAATTGAAATGTGTTTGTCAAAACTTCTTAAATTAAAATGGCTTCGAATTTAAGTTTAACAATAATGGAGGCTTTGTATACGAAACAATATATGTAAAAGCAGATATTATACTTATAATAAATTGGACGTGGCTAGTTGTTTCTCCGGCTTTTTTTTATTACTCTGTCTTTCATGTCAAGTTATTCTCTTCAAAACAAAGCAAATAATGTGGGGGAATAATAGTTATGGAGTTTTTGAAATGAAGGATTTTTTACCAGTTACAAAAGAATTATTTTCTATCAAAGAAATGTTAGAAACTTTCTCAACAATACTTTCAAGTATAATGTGCTGATTTTTTGTATTATTCTTGCCCTCAACAAAGAAGAGGAGCACAAATATGCTGGGAAATGAGATATTTGTTATCGTTTTGGCGCTTTTGTTTCTTCTTTTAAACAGACATTAACAGAAAAATGAGCTAATGATATAAGAAACAACAGGGAGAGCTTCAAATATGCAGCTCTGGTGCAAAGAAATATCTGCTTTTGTTCTTCAAAAAATCTCATTTGTTAGCACTGTTTTGCACAGCTTGAGAAAAACACTTAAAGACTTAAGTCTATTTATCCTAATGAAGATCCCCACTTGTTTTTTTAAAGATATAACAACTTTTTTCTAGATTACAAGAGAAGCAAAGTGGGAATAGAATTTTCCCACATCATCATAAACAATAAATGAATAATGAAATGTTACGATTTACTCCCGCTGCAAATTTCCATACAAAAATAAAAAATTATCACAAAGCTTTGAACAGTCATACCCCATTCTGAGAAATAAAATTAACTAGTTTGGCTAATTTGCCATAAAACAAAATGAAGTCCTACTTGAACTACAAATTTCTTGGTAAACTTGTTGAGAGCATAAATCCCTGGTTTTATGCTTAGGACTTCAAACAGCATCAAACTACAATTAAGAATGATTACATGCTAAGAGACTAAATGAGTGTTTATTTGAAATCCATGCATTGTTTAGAGGTTAATGATTACAAAAGCAGAAAAGTCTTGGGAAAGACATTTCAATATTTTCATATTGTCATTGTGTGAGAAAGTGGCACCAAGACTCTTCAAAAAACAATTGCTCGAAATTGATTAGGTAAACGGGTTGTTGATTTCTGTGATGAGGTTTTCAGCTTCATGGGGTGTATGTAGGAAGGAGGCTTTACCAAAGTTCATTTCTCTCATACACACTGTTATGCCTTGAAAATTTGGAAAAAATCAAAAAGATAGTGATGCAAATGGAGGAAAGATGACTATAGGGCAGGGACTTGTATTGGTTAAGCAAATCTATAAAATAAGTTCTTGATCAGAATTTATAAAGAAAAATAAATTTGACAAGAAAACTGTTTTCAAGTTTAGAAAGTCTATGCATCATTTGTACATGAAATATAAAAACATAGCAAAAAAAAACATTGAAGTCAGCAAAATCATTTCAAATATTCTTTAATTTTGTAAATATGTCACTTTTTTTCAAGATACACCCACACACTCTTAACTGGTCGACAAGGGACTTTTTGTAAATTAATACTTGAATATGCAAAAAAGCATCTTTCAACTCTTTGAAGTCAATATGTGAGAAAACATCCTTAAGATATGTTCTAATTTAAAAAAAAAAAGGGGTAAAAAAGGGGACTTTTCTTGGAAGATTTTAATGGGCAATTTGTTCCTGAATTTGAAGTTTATCCTTTCCGGCTTCTACAGTTCAACTCTTAAAATTAAGAGATATAAGTATTTAGTATTGACAATTAAAATGATGTAATTTTATATATCAAAAGCGTTTATTTCATCTTCCGTTAGATATCTGTTTTATTTATGTCATGAATATGAAATGTATCTTCCTTGTTAACAAATCAAAATAAAAAAAAATTCTACGAAATTAATTTCCTTAATTTCCATTGTTTCAAAGAATTTCAAGATATGAGGAAATATCAATTTTTTCATTATCATAAATGTATCAAATTAGATGCACAGTTTAAAAGGTAAAGTTTATTATTTTCATATGCAATTGATATATGGTAATTTTTAAAATGTTCTCTTTGATTTTGATTAGGGACTGACAAGAGAATTTTTAAATTGTAAATGTTATTCTTAATGTTGAAAAAGAAATTATATTTTTTTCATTTTTTATGTTGTTGTTGAGTAAATGGAAAATCATTATTCATCTTTAAGGCAAAAAAAGCTTAATACTTGCAAATTTGCTGCCTAGATATGCCACATTTAACTGAATTGGTTGTTGGGGTGCAAATTTTTCCACAAAATCAAGAAATATCACACGTTTTAATGTTCAGTATGGTCCAAGTAATTACTTTTTCACCCAATTTTGGTCAATTTGTTCACTAATTTGACCAAATAAGTCAGCGAAATTGGATGATAGTCTACTCAAATGTATTAAAACATTTTAGGGTAGGCCACTGGACGTTAAGGATGTTCGCTACTCTGTTTCAAAATAACAAGCTTTTTAAAAGAAGTTATAAATTGAAAGTATATGAATAAAGGAACTAAAAAAGCAGAAAAAAATGAAGGGTCTGTGTGCTTGTTTTTGAGATATAAGTCATTGAGAATTTGGCGGGAAGTTATTCTCTCAAGATTTTTCTTACATTTAACATAAGAACCTTTTTTTCTTTCAAAAACTATAAAAAAATAACAGGATTTTGTAAGATTTTCAAAACTTGCTTTTTATTAAAAACTATACATGATAAAATTATGAAAAGAAAAGTAGGGGTTTGCAGGCAAAATTTTTTAATGGCACTACATGCATAAAACCAGAGGATTCCGAATATCTGGTAAAAACTCAAAAACAATAGGAGCGAACATCCTTAAGCAAACAACAATCAATCAGCTTTAGGGTAGGCAGTCAAACATAACGTCATTTGGGAGGCCAGAATCATAGGTATGTTTTTCCGCTGTGTAAAGTGAACTTAGGATTAATTATAAATGCAAGTTTTCAAAGATTGTCTCATTTGCACTCTGTAAAAAGGTTGTAAACAATATCTCATATAACTTGATTACAATAACTAATTTCAAGTCACTCAATAAATGTAGAAATAAATTTGTCATTTTTAATCTGATCAGTTTTGTGTTGTTGGTTTATTTTGTTAATTTTAATTCCAATCTCAATATAAGCATACAAATATAATTTCATTATTATGCTAAGCAGTTTCTTCATTTGCTTTTGTAAGCCTCACCTGATCATATTTTTTTTTAACTATATTTGGATAGAGTCAACCATTGTAAAGTTATTTTCGATAATTTGAATTTGAATATTTTAAATATCCTCAATTTAAAATCTAATTAAGGTGATATGATGATATAAATCTTGCATTTCTTTGTGAAATTGTTATAACAAGTCCATACGAATATTTTCAAATTAAAAATCCACTTGATGCAATTGGATGAGAAATTTCCTTTTACGCCACAGAAAACTTTGGTTTTGTTTGGTCCTTTAATCATTATTTATCATCGAAACGAGACTAACAATATATACACGTAAACACAATAACCTGCACATTGACGTACGGCTACCCGTCTGGGGTCGTTCAGTACACAAACAGATCCCGGTAACGATTTTTAACTGATAACAATGAGATATCCTTACTTAAAAGTTAAAGTGCTACGACATGGGTGTGGGCCAAACAATGGCGGGACAACCAGATACTTGACCTAACCAATTAGGGAAAACCGCCTCCATTGTGGATTATATTGTTCAAGTACTCCCACAATTTCACCTGTCAAAAAAATGAAAAGTAATACTGTTAAAACGTGTGGACCCTTGCATAGTGACCTGTCTCAGACAACATATGATTAAGTCCAACTTTTTAACATCATGCTTTGAAGTTGAAAGTTTGATTTTTAGGACAAAAGGGAAAAAAACAAAAGATATTAGCATACATTATTATCATAAATTTTAGGGAAATCATTTTTAAAACATCAGTTTATTTACATTGCTCTTAAAATTTCCACAACACTATTTGAATAGTTTAATCTCAAAACTTTTCATATTCCTATGCAAACTTCAAATTTGATTTTTCATGATGTCAAATTTGTTTTATTTATTTTATTTAAATTTCTTAATATACACTCCTATACAAAGTAAACAAAGTTCAATATCCTGTCTTAAAAAAAAAATAAGTCACCCAACACGAAACACAAATGGATTTCACACCTTAGTGAGATCCTATATTGTGGTAGTAAAAATTGGTTTTATAATCATATGTGGTGACATGCTGACTTTAACACATCACAGCTACCCCAATCCCACCCTTGTAAACAACCCATTGTTTAAACCTGTGAAACTATAAACAAGCATGTTGTTTGTTTGTACCCAGTTGTGGGACAATAGCTGGTACTATATTTATGTACTCAGTGCTAATGACACCCAAACTGTTTCCTGTAGATTTGTGAAAATGATAGCTATAGCAATGAAAAAAGTTTTTCTATTGTCTGTTGAATTGTCCATTTTTGATTGGCTAATCATGATTCTCTTGATTTAAATACCAGTAAAACATTCATATTATATGGACCATTATTTCAAGTGATATCATAGTGTTCAAGCCAGCC